TAACTCCCCCGCCGAGCGTGATAGTCAGATTGAAGTAGCCTCCTCCGTTTCACCCCCCGAGTTCTCGCTGTTCTTCTCCACCCCCAAACTGTAATCTTGCTATCTCAAATAAACGTCCTGGAAAAAGGTCTTCCCGCGGCATACTTCCGTAACTGCGCCCGAATTCTTCTTCCGGGGTGGGTCCTCGGGGTCTCTTGCAACTTTTCCACCTTGAAGAATTTCCAGTCCAACCGGCGGCTACCATTTCCTCCACCCTCTAATTAAACTACATCGTTGTTCCGTCGAACAGTGGGAACTCATACTATCAGACAGGGGCACTTTATTTGCTGATCACTTACATCACTCACGATCGTTTCTACGGTGACACGATTTTTATCAGGGAAAGTGGATTTTGCGAAATAAAAACTTATAAGCTTGGATTTATCACAACACTATTTCAATCTTTGTAAACCTGACAGGCCCCAATCATATTTGCTTTATTTGAAGTTTTACTGTAAATTTGAGATTCCATTTTATAACTAAAAACTGTGTCGCTTATATCTGACACTCGTGACATTCAAAGTAAGTTAAAAAGAATCGAACGTACAAGGTCTACGAATACGGATTACGTCTCGAATAGAAGTTAAGTCTAACATAAACGGACACGATGTTCGCTGTAGAATTTATTACTAATCCGAGTAAATATTACCTTTTCATTAGAGTCTCTGAATTTTACAAACATCACAGAAGGCATTATCTTGTGAACCCTCTTAATAATCAAAGCCCCAGGATAACGTAAACCCTTTTAACCGGGGCATTACCAGCGAGTTAAACGGAAATTATCGAAATTATAGTACGTTGAATGCGCCGAGAAAGGGCATCTCTCCCTGAAGGCGTGAATTATCGCTAGACTCAGTGCCCCCGGACCAGGGATCCTCTTGCGGCGGATGATAATACGGGTGAGGGTTGGCGAGCCAGTATTCCGCGGCATAAAGGTTTACGATCCTTTTCTATACAGCTTAAATAGGCCATTCAGCCGCCTGGACGACTGAACCACCTTCTTTTTACTCGGTCATCGTGGACGTATAGAAAGGAAGCGATCGATATAGGACCCCGTGCCCTGTCTCCTCTATCTTTGACGCGACCAAGACATCTTGCCTCCTTGGAAAATGGTCCCCGACTGTATTAAAGGAAGACCGTGATATTTCCTGCGTGTCGGTCCCCTGACTTCGGTAGAATCCAGCCTCTTTCAACTTGAATCGACAGAATTTTACAATTTACTCGCTCCGGGTAGATTCAATAAACTGGAAATAGCTTTGATAAGAGAACAAGTGAACGATGGTTCACCGGTTAATAAAACCTGGAATCGGTTACAATTTCATTTCAACATTAAAAGCATTGTCCCAAGTTGGTCTTCGCGAGAAACATTTCAAACGGTTGCTTTATCTTTATGGAAGATTGCTTCGAACGGAAGTTTGATTAAATCCTACTTTACACAGACTTTCTGTGATCATTTTTATCCAGCTCGCTTCAGAGATAGAACTGTGTTACAAGACAGGTATCCTGCGATACTCTAAACGAAATCGATCCACTTCATTCACGGTCGACTGGAACTATCAAACAAGTCAGAATGACTGGTTAATTGCCATTTATAACGATGATTGAAATATTACAAGAATGCATATTCTCAGATCGTTCATTGCAATGTCCAAGTGAAGAAACGAGTTAATTTCTAAATTTGAATATTTTCAAAAGGTTGTCTTTTTCAAGGATCCGATAGAAATTGATACACATCAAATCCTCGATGAGTGTTCGAAGGCTCCTTGACACTAAAGATGTCCCCATATGTAACACTGGCTTTTTACCTAGTTTTTTTTTTGTTTCAGCCTGAATTAATTACTTTATGAAACATTTAATGTTCAGTGCCGAGGAGCCTTCGAACACTCGTCGAGGATTTACTGTACGTTTATCTTCGGTAGTTCCAGTGTTAACGGTGTTACCACTGTTATTACCATCCAAACGAATACGATAATGATATAAATTAATTAACCTCTATTATGGCGGTCGTGGATGGCGAAGAGAGCGCAGCAGCACGCCGAGCAAATTTCGTCGGGGACAATCGTCGCGACACCACCCGCCGTTCATTGTTATCGCGCGCGAAATCACCGATCGTCGCTTTTTATTTTCACATTCAGGCGGGACGCGAAGTTCCGGCGACTACGACGTCGGAAACTACGAAGTTGCAAGTGCTACCGATGTCGGCTCGGTAATTGGGTTTTCAAAGTATTGACCGCAAACGTTCAAGTTCGAAGGTCTTCCCCCTCCCTTCTATTCGCTCTGCAAATTGCGAAAAAACCTCGTTAAGATCGAAGGTCGCGCGAATTTGCACGGGAAAGGACTTGATAAGCAGCTCCAATATACACCGCGATGTTCGTAGACAATTCGGTTCGTCTGGAAATTAAATTCGCGGGAATTTCGAAAAGCAATCCCTTTCTAACCGTGTTCCCTGTCAATTTCGCCTTTTTTCCTGTTTTCGTGGTTCGTTAGTAGATCTCGTCGTCGTTAACCCTTTCATTCCAAAATTATCTAACAATTACTAAAAACAATATTTTTCTTGTATTTTTATCTATATATATTATTTCGTAATTTGTAATACGTAGCCATATGGCTACAGTGGGAACGAAAGGGTTAATTTCGTGTTATTCTGACCGAATAAAGCAGACGGAAGTATCATCAGTTGCGAAACGAAAAAATATATAATTAACAATCTTTTCAAGCTTTCTCAAATCTCGTCAGACCGTTTCCTGCTAGATCGCTCTAAGGACACGGATGACGCCTTAGGAAATCCTGTTTCCCCTTTGAAACGGCGAGAAATTAAGAAACCCGGGTCTGCAAGCTTATCAAACAGATTGTCCGTTATGCCGTAAAACGAGACGCGATCCACGGATAGTCGTTACCTTTCTAATCTCGTTAGTTCCTCCTGACTCGTTAAATTTTACTGAACGCTTCTCCCCGACGATCTCGCGATCTACGGTTTTCGCAAGCGATGCATGTGATTAACATATATCTATGTGCAGTAAAATCGAGGAACCTGGTGGCTGTCAATTTTACAGAAGTCCCAGAACCGAAGACACTCGTCCTCGAAACTAGACGTTAAAAGATTCATACTTCATTTACTACTTCTTCATTTATACACTCCGTGGCATAACTGTGAAATCATCCTAAAATTTTCAATTCTTATAGTATTGTGGTTAAAATAAAAACAAACAATGTATGCTATGTCTGAAATTATATCGAGAAATAATGTTTCTTCCGAAATGGATAAGTTACAATACCTAGAAAAAATGTCGTTCGTTTTTATTTTAACCACAATACCGTTATGTACCCAGTTTCTGATCACTTAAGAGTAACTATCGTTGTTTGTTTAACGTACAAGTAGAAAAATTAAGCAAATCTACAAGAATTGTGGTTATCCGAATAAATCTATGTTTTATCTTTAATTTGGTATTAACAAAAGTGCAGAACTAGCAATACTAAATTATAATTTAACTTCCAAAGCAAGAAATTCAAAGGGAATGATTTCTGTACACCTAAAATTTATAGTAACTATTCTAAAAATAACTCTAGTTATAACAAACGTACTTTATACTAAAGTAATTAGGAATTGGGTTTTGATCGGAAACTGGGCCCGTGACGCACATAAGGATTGACAATTTCACAGTGGTTTTATAGTTATGGCAGCTCTATACATTACTGAATTCTAAGATAATAAATGGTTAGGGACAGACTTACTTTTTCGAAATTACGTCCAAAATCATCGAAGACACATCGACGATCAAGGTGACTTCATGAAATTCTAATCGACACACATTATCCCCTAGTTTCCATCGCACTACTAACTTATTCCACTGGTTTAGGATCGGATATTCTCGAACGTCACTTTCGTAAATCTTTGGGCGATCTTCGTCCGTGTTGGCGTATACCTGGATGTGTCACGTGATAGCCCACCCCTCTGCCACCCGTCATTCCCCCGGATAATATATTACACTCTCCGCGCGTAAACGTGTCAGGTTTAAATTAATCTCCCATTGTACTAGCCCGCAGGTATGTCGGGTCAGGGCCCACGAAACTACTCGGTGACAACGACAACGACACCATTACATCAACCGTGGCTGCGCACGCAGCCTGCGATAATGACCGAAAGGAGAACGATTTATAATTGATCGGACAGAGCAATTTTCCCAAGTCAACACTTTCTGCTTGGCGAAAGTGGTACATTGTTAATACCAATCGACCCTTCAATGTATTACCTCTTTGCGAGCTTAGATTCTTTCAGAATAATTCACAGAATCAACAGGCAGAAATTCATTCACTGACGATCAGTACACCATATGGTTTATCTGCCATTTTTGGCAATATTTTTTTTTTAGTCGAATAGATTGTTTAGGCGAAGTAATAATTTGACATTATTGCTTGAGAATTTCTCGTTGTTACATTTAGAAAGAATCTTAAGATTTCTATCACGTTTCGAGTACACTATAAAAAAGTGAAACATATTTGGAATACATCGACCGTCAGATATAATTCAGATAAAGCTTGGAGAATATACTTAATGATCATTCTGCTACCTCCGAAACAATTTATTCTCTAAAAGACGTGTCGAGACGCAGTCTCCCAGTGTCGAGGAACACCTTAACCAGCGGTCCCACGACGAAACGGACAGATACGAGGATAGAAAACCAAATTGCCAATAAGTCTCGCCGTATATCTGACCCGGATGGCTTATAATGTCTCACGATACCGCCACGTTCGACCCCTATTTTACTTCGGATATCTTTTTTCATAAAAGTTCCGTTCCGCCTTCGACGAGCTGGGCGGTACGGATCGAAACAAATAAAAGTTTCCCGAGCTGTTCTAACAACCTATCGAATTTCCCCCACCGGATCACACGGTGGACTTGGAGAAGGGGGTGTAGAAAGAGGATACAGATAGAGGACAGAAAAAGGACGTTGGAAACTCACCGACAACGGTGACGAGTATCAGGAGACCGAGCACCAAAGCCCTGAGGATGATCGAGGCGTCGCTGAACACCAGACCATCCGTGGACGAGTTACCAGCTTGGCTGACGTGCTCCTCCATGACGCCCGGGAATATATATGTATATATTCTCTGTCCTGACCGGATCTTCAATGTCCCCTGGTTATCATCTCGTTAAATAACGTAGCATGGTCCACCCCGTCGGGAGCAGATCCCCAGATATGAATCTTCCTATTCCCGGCGACCTTGGCTGGACCCCGACTCCTCGAGACGGGGAGTTAATGTCTGCCCGTTGAAAGTTTAATATTCACGTCGTCGGAGGACATTCTTACTTGCCTACGGTCGACTTCTATCCGTTTCCATCTTCCTGGGACTGTGAGACCACTGTCCATTGGAGAACAGATCGTCCATTGGAACCGGAAACCCGGGCATCGACTCTGCCTGCAACGTTAAAACAGCAAACGTTTCGTTAGTTGAATGTATAGTGCAATTTATTCTGAGAAAATATTGGGGAAAAAATTTTAATTTGGAGAGATTCTGATCAAAGGAGGAAGGAAACTTTCGAAGCCTGGTAAATGGAGCTGAAAGTAGATAAGGTCGGTCACTGGTCAGACCCGGAGAATGCAGGAATAAATGCAGATCTACTTTGGTTAACCATCTCTCTGTGGACAAATATATTAACGTTAACTATGCACAGGGGTATCATTACACCTCGTACAGTTTTAGTGGAATATTTAAAGAAAAAATTTTGGCAGTCAGTGTTCGTGAAGTTCTATTGATTTTGAAGAAGATAGGAACTTTCTGCAAGTTACATTCTCAGGAAAACTTTGGAAATTTCCCATACGGGAACTTTTAAATTACGTTTCTATTTGTCTGGAGTGTGTTTACACCCCTGTACACAGAGGGAAGGTTAATCGGGATGTATACAAGGTTTCTGCAGAAGTAGATAAATATTGATATAGTCAGACATAGATAATGTGACAAATTTTCTGGAATAACTATAAAAACAGAGACTGTGACTTCAGCTCTGTGATTTTGTAATTGAAAATAGAGTGCAGTAATTTATGCAAAATCAAAATTTTGAATGCTGATAATATCTAAAAATTATAATAGAGCAGTTAATAATAACACATAAATAATATTAAACCTGAGTGAAACGTTTATTTTATTGCATTTTCCAAGTTAAAAAAACGCTATAAATGCATAAACATCCGCAGTCTAATTATTGTAAAAGGAAACTTTCTACTGGCTCAGCATCGTGCAATGATAAAAAACTAATCACCTATCGTTCAAACGTTCGAGAAACACGTGAAGGGGAAAGCAATATACATCTTTAGAACCTCTTCCAATGATAGATGTATCTCTAATTGCAGTGATCCACCCCGTAATCGCAGACGAAACTCTACCGATGGGGAACACGAGAAGCAACACCATCGAGGTCGTCACGAAAAGCCAACGAAATTTGCGTAATCGATCGTGAATTATTGGAATCGAGGCACTGACTGTGCAGTCGAGTTCGGTTATAAATACACATCGGAGAGGGCGAACAAAAAAAAATAAATAAATACCCACGACCTGGCCGTTTTCGACGAACGTCATGAAATTGCATCCCGGAGGTCACGCGAGCCACGTTTAATTTTTCGATAGACACGTTTCATTAACTCGAATTCGCGGGCCACCGTTCACCGTCTACATTCGATTTTTCCGCCCCGGTATAAATAAAACGAGTGTCCGGTTGAATCGCCATTTATCCAAATTACTCTGGATTTATGCATCGTCGCGGAACGCTCTGAAACACGTTTATCAACGCTTTATCATTCGACCTGCTCGTTCGCTGTACAAGGAAAATGCTCGAATACTTTAAACCAAGTAACGTCGACGACGCCATAAAGACCCATGGAAACCTCATTCGTGTAAAGGAATCTGCCTTTTTCCCCGGGCCCATTAAAAGTTAGGAGGACACGAAGGACACGGACTCGTAAAGATGCAGCCGGATAAAGCAGCCACTTTAGCACGTTATTAAATAAATTTTACGAGGGTTCGTTTTCAGACGGCAGCAAAAACGACACTTCGAAACGCGTTACAGAGACGTACCCTTTCGCCCAGCACGATCGACTGGATGGTTATGCGTTGTCGAGCGTTCTCTCGTTCGACGGCTACTTTAATCCCGCGGGTTTAATTGCAACGTTCGATTATATTAACGAACAATACTGTCACCGTTTTCCTTAATGGGCAACGCGTTGCGTAATCGGCAGCTGCAAAATGAAATTTTCAACAAGGGAAACACACACGCCCGGAGAAGTGCATTTGATAATCGACTTGCAACGGACGTTATTAGCAATTATCACCTGTCGTATGCAACTCGTTGAAATGAACATATTCGAATGGGAAATTAAATTACAGTTTATTTCGGTGGTAATTGTGAAAAGACTGTAGTTCTTGGTTGGTTCGATTTTTTTTCGTCTCATCCAGATCCATTAACAGGTTCATTGTTTAACCCTTTTAATACCCAGTACACAATAAATTCTCGAGGAGTGTTCGAAGGTTCCTCGGCACTGACAAGAAGAGGTCCCCAGGTATAACGCTGGCTTTGTAATGAGGTAGTATCTGAGTAGTGTAATATTTAGTACAGTGACAGAGCTTGGAATTATGAAGCCAATGATATTTGTTTTCTGAGCCTTCGAGCACGCATCGAGGATTTCCTGTACGTCATATCTAAAAAATCATATTTCCAGTGGTTTTGTCGTGAAAATACAGATGATGTGCACGTATTGGTACCATTTTAATAATATTAATAATGTTTATTTATAAACGAGTTATGAACTCTTCCATACAGAAGGTTCAGATTTTGTAGTTTTCTTGAATTATCTAATATCGAGAAATAATGTCTTCTTTCAAAATAATATGACACTTATTTGCTTTAAAGAATTAACGTTGGGAAATTGTTACAATGATTCTGACAGTCTCTGGACCATATATACAGTATTTGTTTGTTTTTCTAAGAACGAATCCCTTACTATCTTCTCGACGGAACGATTCTGTCATCCCCGAGAAAATTATTCTTCTTTCGAGATTACACCACCGGTACCCGTTGTCGTAAACACATCCCGCAACGGAGTTCATTTCTCATCGTCTTCCGCGACGTTTCAAAGCTCTGTTTCTCCACGCTGATCCCTGTTTGTGTTTCTCGGTTCGAATATCGTAAAGTAGACGCCCCGGTCCCTAATTGCGCCATTGTCGCGACGATAACGTTAATCTAATAAAGCAACGGACCCCCAAGACCCCCTCTGAGTAGTCGGCGAATTAATTGATTTATTTCACGAGCGATCCACGGGGACAGAGACTGCTCAGCTTCTAACGAGCGGAGTCCACGTAATGGAAATCAACGTCGTCGCGTCGCAATACGATTCTTTCGCAATTAAATGAAAGAACAACGACAAGGCGAAAGACTGATGCCCAATGAATATTCTAAAGAAGGAAACAATGAAACTATAGTAAATCATCGATGAGTGCTCGAAACCTCCTCGGCACTGACAAGGAGGAATTTCAATTCGAGTCCAATGATATCCGTTTCAGGCTCATATGGCCATTAATTTATTAAATATTTAATGTCCAATTTCGAGGAGCCTTCGAGCACTCATCGATGCTTTACTATATTTATTCATCTTCAGAGTGATCTAGACGGTCGATCGATACACAAGACCTAATTTCTTCAAGGAAATTGTCGGTCTAACAATCTTTTGAATAATTCCAATAATGCTCCGAGAATAACCAGAAAAAGAATGTCCTCGAAACTCAGCAATTTTCTCCTCGACGATCCTTCAGATCCTACGCTGCAGAGGGAATTTCGCTCGAGCACCTTCGAGCAGCAATTAGGAGAAAAGGGGAATCGGTTCCGAATCGGGGATGGCGTTACGACAATTCGTGAATTTGCCAACGCCTACGCGTTACAAGGACCGAGGGAATTAGAATGATTATCGGTGCCCCTCCACCTGGTTCCTGGCCCAGGGATGTCGAGTGTCCTTCGAAGGCTTCGAACCAACGGTGGGGGGGCAAGCTCAGCCGTCGGGTAATCCGCGGATCCCGTAAGCTCCTGAAAGCGGAAAGTCCTCCAAAGAGGAGGGAAGTTAGTTACACGGGGCTAATGGAAGCCAGCGGCGGCGCAACTAAACAATATGGGCAGCGACACGCCTAACAAAGTTGGACCAGGCCAAGAAACGTAATTAAGGCTGCAGAAGTTAAGTTAATTTGGAAATACCGAGTTACGAGCTTGCAACCCCCGTCGAGGGGAAAGGGTGGGATGGGCGCGTGAGGATCGCGTTGAGGCTTTGTAATCAATTCGATATCACTGTGGGTGATACCGTTGACGCAGAATGTTTCGTGGATCATGAACATACTGTTGGGTGACTTTCGAAGAACCTGGTAGGCATGACGGATTTCAGAATCATTTTCCTGTACGATGTAAAATGTAATTCACGAATGTAGCTACTTTCCTGTCGGAAACATAAAGTACGAAGATGCTGGAGCAGAGAATCTAAAGTACATCACGACAAGATGTAGAATTGTTCGCGAGTGAAAGTAGACGAGGACAATCCCTTTTACTTTGCACAGTCTGTTTGTCTGGCCACGAACTGTCTTTATCCACTTTCAGTTGATACTTTTCATAAATTGTGTTCCCTTGGGAACTCTGCTGTGATCTGCTTACGTATAAAATTCCCTGCCCTTTTCACTCGTTTAAGTTCAAACTATTTTTTTATTCCTACCTGAAATTCAAAGTTTATAGAATTTTTACTAGTTTTAACTATCACAATACTTTGATACTTCATACTAGAATTATTTATGACACAAGTGTTTCTATTTCTACGACGTTGGTAAAAGGGGAAGCTTGTTGAAAATATAGAAATCGATGAATCAACGAATTTCTTCATTTACATGTATATTAACACCCTAAGGACCGAATTATTTTGCAAAAATCAGTCATGATTTCCCATATATTTTTTTATGGATTTCGTGAGTTAATACGAGATAAAGAAAGCCTGACAGAAAATAGAAACCGTGTAAACACGGTTATAGTCTTTCAGATGTTAATAATTTTAAGACCG